CCACTGGGGTAGCTTAAATGTTAATAGAAAAATTTGATTCATTAAATCCAGGAACTGTATACCCTGGAATAACCTATGAGAGAAACAAATGGACTCATTTCTTAGTAACATATAGAGACGAGTCTGCATTAGATATTGCTGTATAAATTTGCTTCAATCTTATATGTATCACAGAATGGAGGTATTCATAGATATTTTTAATTCTAACATAGAATGGCTTATTAAACTTAAATTGATAATCACAACACTTAAATTGGGGTGAATTATGACGGTACTTTTCGAGAGGTGAGAGTTTGGAATCCTTCAGAAGACTATAAGCATTTTATTAAGAAGGCCATTCTCAATCCATAAAGTATGAAAAATAAATATATATTATAACATTATAAGCTTAAACTAATTTACTTGACTATTGGAGACTTGAAGCGAACAACTAAGATGAGGTCTTTTATCATTGGAGCTTTCCAACATCTTTATATCTGGTAACTAGTTACTTAAGTCCAAATATACCCATTAAATAATATGAAAAGCTGAACGAATGCAAGTACGGAAGTTACTTTTCAGGTTAATCTTGCCATTATGACATTTTCAATGTCATCAAAGCAACGAATGAGCAGAGTCCACTATTAATGAAAGTTAATCAGAGCATGCCCCTATAGGACTATAGTATAGGTTTCTGGTTTAAGCTTTAAATTTTATAAGATTAGAATATCCTGTGTGGCGCTACTCCTTAAATTTCAAACTTTCTATATTTAAAAGCATCAACTACATAAGCAACATTAAATCGTCAACTCGAATTGATGTAGAATAATTGCTAATTTATTCTGACAAATACTTATGATATTGATCTATAGCCTAGAATTTGGTATTAAATCGGAGTCTCTGTTTAAAATGCGTAATTGCCTCAAAGAGAACATTTTGCAGCAATAACTGACTATAGTGCTAAACACTTTATTGGATCTGTTTAAAAGAATCAAATCACATGTCCTAGTTTTGCAATGGTGAATAATGAACCTGATGCTGAGGTTTATCTTTGCAAGGACAACAACTTTGGAAATGCAGGCCTTAGTGTCAAGTATATCTATTTTTTATCAGACTATGCCATAACTGCTAACGATATGTTTACTACGACAAGAGTGGTTTGGAAAATGATCGGGTTAAAGCCAGCTCTTTACTTAACTTTTAACAACATTTAAGGAAAGATCTGGGCCTATGATTTAGCAAATGACTAGAATATCGTGACTCTTAGAAGCTCAATTACAGAATAATCATTATACTGGGATTTTGAGTAATTTGGACCGAAGATGTGCCATTCCTATTATGAAATTTTGGACTTAGATAGAATGATATGCATTCGTAAGTATTTTTAGAATGAATTTTTTTATAGCAAGATATGCAATGTACCATAATCAGTCAAATGTTCTATTAAGTAATATTGGATTATCAAATTCTTGGTCACCTAGCTACAAAATGTCCATAGGGTTTTTTTTGAAAACTGTATTTGGGGGTAATGGTGTTACCAATCACATCATGACTGTAAATCCTTTCGGAAGTACCAACAGCTAGAAGATTATATTTTAATCCTACTCTTATTCTGATATCTATGGGTCATAGTATCATAGTATGTCTTATACATTAGAGGGTTCTCCAGTCCTTTAATATTAAAAAACCTCAAGGTTATCCTATTGGTTGCACATTGCTTTTGTAAGAGGTATCAATCCTAGTTATTAATTATATTGAGCATTTTAGATTAAAAATACACAATCTATGAATCTGGTATCAACCAAACTTCAACTTCTTCTACAATAACAGACACTGTCAATTTTGATAATTAGATCTATCTAGGACAAATACCTGACACCACAAATCCTGTTGGATTTCAGGGATATATCAGACAATTCAAGGTATATGATATAGCATTAATAAGTTCATAAATTATGAATTACATGGTAAAGTAAGTCACAAGATAAGAGTATTATTAATTTTTAGCAATAATTAAAAGGATAAGGGTCTTATTAGTTATTTTCCATTTGAGGAGAGTAACTTTATTGAAAAGCTGTATGATTAAGGTCCTACTAACAATTTGAAAACACCCCTTAGCACAAATGGGTATACATAGCTTTTTACTACTCTTTATCAAACCATGGACAAATTTAATTGGACTTATTACTATGATTATCAAGTGATTGCAGATTTCAGTGGAGTTGTAAATCTTGAGGCATCTCCAGAATGGTCAATTAGCTTTAGATTTAGGTCTGGTGTAGACTTAAGTACAGATAAAATCTTGTTTAAGATATCAAACTGGCTTTAAATTAAGCGATTAGGCAACTCAAGCTTTGAATATTACTTCCAGTAGTAGGATGAAACTTTAAGATCAATGGCTACACCTGAAATAGGTCTTTCCAATTGGCATAGTTTTGCTACGACATTTCCAGCTAATCTAAAAACCTAAACTGATTATTTGATAATTCTAAATAACTAGAGATTTTACAATCCTGGTGGATATCCTATGCCAGGTGGCGGTCTTATTGGGGATTTATCTTTCAAAACAGTAACTAGAGAAATTAGAATTATGAATACAAGGATGTCAGATACATTTTTAAGACAGTATAGTATGAAAAAGATGGATGGCCTCTACTATAGTAACCTTTTATTCTACTCTTCCAACCAATATCACTATAATCAACCAAATAATTTGAGATATTTCATCAAAGGTTAATTGATTTAAGACCTCTATCAAATCTTATATTCAGCCTATGAATTAAATCCAGGGATAATATGTGAAGAGGATTAATTTTACAATGGATAGGAGTGCAAGACTTACAAATATCTCAGATTTAGAGATGATTTGCTCCATGACTTTGATCTCCCAATGTAAAGCATCAATCCTCCAAATTTTAGCATTGAAATAAGTTTTTGGATGATAATAGACCTATTAAAAATACCAGGCAATTTGATTTTGATGCCATTTGGTGACATATAAATGATTCCTGCATTTGTCTCCTTGTAATACTATTGATTTTCATTATTTTAGGACTGACCCATTAAAAATTAAAGTGAATCAGGTTAGCACTGTCAATAATTATGACATATCAACTGCTATTAAGCGAAATGAATTAATAGAAGATGGGCTAAGAATCTGGAGAAAACTAGTTTTCAGATTTCAATAAATTAATCAAAAGTACTTATAATAATATTGATTGTGGTTTTAGATTAGTAATATTTAGTGATATCGAGGGATATAAATACTTATATGACATATCACCTTTTGCAGCACTTATCACTTTCAGTGCAATTAAATATATCAGAATATGTCCTTTAACATGTGATCTAACTTTAGCTTATTTAATTATTTACAAAGATCATAACTTATATGAAAATAAGCATTTCTATTACAAAAAACCAATACCCAATTTAGTTTATGGATTCTGGCCATTGAATGAAGGGACTGGAGATACAATTTATGATTATAGTATGTATTAGAACAGTAGGAAAATATTTAGAGAAAATAAGGCAAATAATAAGTTTAAATGGTGGAATATAAAACAAATTCATAATTTAGCTGAGGTACTTGTGATGTGTAATGCAGAAGAGATTTATAATTTTCAAACAGGTTTTTGTGATTAATTAATAACTTATTAGAATGTTTTTACTCAAGCAACAGGAACAAATGTCACAAGGTTAATTAATAATCCCTAGGTAGAATATAATAGAGATTGGGGAATGGATTTATGGCTCAATTTTCAATTCTCTGATGGATATACATCAAAAGAAATTCCTATCATCAAATCAGATCCAACTTGCACAACAGATTCTCAATCAATGAAATTTTACATGAATATTACTCGAGATTCAATAACCATGCAAAATTTTGTTAATATTTACACTAAGGATTATTCAGGTACTATAGATCATCTTAAAGAATACAAAGAGATAATTGAGAATAATTGGATACATATTGCTGTAGTTAATATCTTCAATGAAGCTCAGAATACAAAAGCACTATACATAAATATCTAACCTCCTTCAACTACTCTATTAGCGGGATCAAAACTTTCTTCTTGTGATCTTTTATTAGGGCACTCTGATACAATTACTGTTTCTGATAATAAATTTAGTTTGAAAAATTTTAGGATATGGAACGAGGCGCGATCTATTCCTCAGATTGCTTAGGAATCTCTTTCAAAATCATTAGGAATAGGCGAACTTAATCTTATGAAGTATTATAAATTCAATAAGGAAAGCGAACTATATGAGACAGTGGCTGAAAGCTAGTTCATAATTGGTGGTAATTGCTTGATGAAATCATACATTGATACATTTCACCTTGATTGTCCTCTTGGATTTTCTTATTCACAAGTCAATGGAAGATGCGAACGTAAGAATAAATTCAAATTCTATTTGAGAATAACTTTTGCTGTAGATTAGAAGTACATGCTATACCAATCTAGCAATTCCTCCAGTAAGTGGGAGATTTCAGAGACAGTCAATAGCTTAATTTTTTTGGAAAAAGGTAAAATTTTACATGCATGACTGGGACTGAAATAAAAGAGTTCTCAAGCGACAAAGCTGAATGTATACCATGCAAATCGCCTTGTCTTACCTGTTAAAATAAGCCAGATTTTTGCACTAGTTGTGGAGATGACACAGTTTTAGATGATGAGGGACAATGCTTACCTTGTTCAGCAATTCTAGGCCATGAGTTTCCAATCATAAAATTTTATGGGAGGAAATCATGTACGGAGACATGTGGTGATGGAGTAAGGTATTTATAAAACGAATGTGATGATGGAAATATTTAAGACAATGATGGATGTTCATCTAAATGTGAAGTTGAATCTCAATATACTTGTAGTGGAGGATCTTAAATTACTAAAGATATCTGTCATGATTTGATAGGACCAGAAGTTCAAATAATTGAAATTAGTTCGCAGAGTAAATAAATATTTTTGTAGTTCGTAGATAACAATGGATAAGTATTCACTGAATTACAAGAGATTTCAAAGATATAAATAGAATTGCAGATTACTGGGGTTGATGGAGGCTCTAGATATCAGATATATGCAAGTATACCTGAGGATTTTTCTAAAAACGGAAAAATTTACCTTGAGTTTAATCCTCGATTTTCTATAGCAGAAACAGGTGCTTTTGTTTAAGTTATTTTTAAGGATTCTAAGGATTTTTATGATTAGTTCAATAATCCTCTGAAAAATCTCAAGACAAACTTTCACTAATTAAAGAAATATGACTTAATAGAACCATCATTATTAGCATCAATAAAAGAAGTTGGATAATCTGCAAGCTATACCACATAAATTATTTTAGCTTTTAACTTTATTTTATCATTTGCTCTTGAAAAGGCTCTTGACTCATTATATTCAGCTATTAACTCAGTGTAGATATTGTTTTATCTTCCATTGATAGATTTACCTTATCCTCAATTTATGCTTGAGATTTTTAAATATCTTGAGTATGCTAACTTTGAAAATCAGTTTATAAAAGATCCGTTATCTTAACGAATAAATTTTGATAGCATCTATGACCAACCACTAAACAATGCTTTCTATAATTTTGGATTTGAAAGTCAGGTATTTCTAAAGTCTTATCAATATAAGTTAGGAATTTTATTTGTGATATTTTGCTTTTTCCCGATAAGTTAGATCTTTAAGAGATTTAAGCACAGATATTTCAATATATTCAGAAAAATTGATCGGTTTTTTAAGTATAACGGAGTTCTTATTCTAGGATAAGAACTATATCTTGAAATGGGCATATTTGCTTACTTGAATCTCTATAATTTCTAATATAATAATATAGACTAGCTTTTGAACTCAGTAATAGCGCTCTTTGCTATCTTATTTGTCACTATTTATCCTTTCATTACACTTAATATTATCAACAGGTTCTTAACGAATGATGCTATTATTAGCCTGCAAGTGGAGAGAAATGTCAAAGAATTCAGGTAAAAATTTAATTCTTTAGTTGAGGGAACTAGAATTGAGAAAAATTAGCTTTTGCCTTAGTTTAATTTTTCATTCTTCCTATTTAGGAGGCTTTTTTATGTTTAAATATTAGTCCTCTTAGCAAGTTACCCTGAGCTCTAAATAGCATTATGTATTTTAAAAACTATTATGATATTGACTTACTTTATTAAGATTCAACCCTATGAATCTCGAATAAATAATCTTATGAATATCCTTAATGAAGCTCTTACTGGAGTGGCATTTTCTTTATGCTTTTCATTTAAAAAAGGAATGTCATCAGAATAAAATAGTTATTATGGATGGTGTGTTATAGGATGTGCAGGATTTATACTAATTTCGAATTTATTTTTGGCGATAATACAGACAGCTAAATCATTATTTTAAGTTATTAAAGCATCCATCATTACAATTAGAAGGATAATTAAAATGAGATAAACAATTTCATAGTCGATATTTTAAAGTTAAAATTATAAAGAAGCGGCTTAATTTTCTATGCATTTCAAAGATTTCAATGAGAAAAGATAGGATTAATTTTAACTAGATTCTGAAAATTAGATTAATGATAGTCAGAGTTAAATACTCAGTGTAATAAGTTTAAACTAAGAAACTTAAAGAAAATATAAAAATGAAGAAGTTAAATAAGACAAGAAAAAACATAAGAATTCGGCAAAGTAAATATAATAAGAAAAACATTTTGATAATAAGGTTAAAGATTTAAAAAATATTCAGTTAAAAACAAAATAGAAAACAGAAAATAGAATGAATAAAAATAATTTTGAGATTAGAATGAATTAAAAGAACGAATAAAAACATAGAAATAAAGAGATTAATTAAAAGAAACAGGATAAAACAAAGTTCGATAGGACAATGTTTGAAATTAACTAGTCAAATAAATATTAATCAAAAGAAATCAAGATTCTGGACTTAAGGACAAATTCGAACCTTTAACTCTGACCATCTGTTACTGTGAATGCTGTACTCAACAATACACAAGATAATGAGTAGTAATTAGGATTCTGAGTAGCTCTTTAATGACTGAGTTTTTGTCTTCTTCTTTTGAGAAGAAATTTTGGAACTGGATTAATCAAAGGAATATATTGAAAAACTTTGTATTATAAGCTTTAGATTCTAAGAATTACTCATCGATTTAATCTTATGGGGTTTTGGGGTTTTGGGGTTTTGGGGTTTTGGGGTTTTGGG